CCAAATCATATACAAGCAAAGATGCAATACTATGTAAATAATATGTAAATAATATGTATTTATATTTATCACCACGGAACTGAAAAACGTAGAATTGTATTTCTATATTTTCACAATAAAAACCAATTAAAAAAAAAAGATTGCTAGTAATAGTAGATTGCTAGCAATAATAGATAGTAGAAGGACTGAATGAATCAAGCAGTGAGCAGCTCTAAAACTTTCTTCAGGCAACTGCCTGCAACTGTGAGAACTAAATTTTTGTAAAGAGTTATGAATGTATATGTATTCCCTTTAATGTACGTTATATGGTTCCTTCAGCAAATCCATGTAGAAGGCACTTTTAAGGATCTTTGCCCACTGAGCCTGTTGTGCTGCAAAAGATTTATAAATGTGACCGACATGCTTTTAATCATTGATAGAATTAGGAATCCTGGTAACATATTGAAACCCACATATAAGGATACTAGGTGGGCACGTTTAGATGACTTACTATAAATGCTTTTGGAATCTTTGTACATGTAGTCCTTGACTTACAACAGTTCGCTTAGCTTAGTGACCGTTCAAAGTTACAAAAGCACTGAAAAAAGTGACTTATGACCGTTTTTCGCACTTACGATCATTGTAGCATTGCCATGGACACGTGATCAAAATTCAGATGGTTGGCTACGGATTCACATTTATGACAGTGGCAATGTCCCTGGGTCATGTGATTCCCTTTTGCAATCTCCTGATAAGCAAAGTCAATGGGGAAACCAGATTCACTTTACAACCGTGTTACTAATTTAACAACTGCAGTGATTCACTTAACAAATGTGGCAAGAAAAATCGTAAAATGGGGCAAAACTCACTTAACAAATTTCTCACTTACCAGCATAAATTTTGGGCTCAATTGTGGTTGTAAGATCAGAATTACCTATATAGTCATTAGCAATGGTAGCTAATGCCATAAATGCAGGTATAGTTTGTTTTAATCAGACTTATGACATGCCTATGGAAATGAAATTTCTGAGAATTTGGGGGTCTATACTATTTTCTGACTCATTACACATTTGTCTTAGTGTTACTTCACATATTTTTGCTGCCAAAATGCTATTAGGTTCTTATCTCTGCAGCGCTTAAGGATGAGATCATTTCCAGGAGCTTAGCTGTCTCGCCAACCAATGCATACTTTCCTGCGGTATGTGTCTGTATTTGTTCACCCTTCCTCACTGCATCCTTAGTTACAGTACCTGTCACTATGATTGTAGCTTTACATACCTTTTTAGTCTCCTTGCCTATAGAGGCAAGGAGACTAGGAGACCATGAACATTAAGAAGCAACAGATTGCTCCAGGGATGTAAAGAACCAGTGAAACAGAAAGAGAGTGTGTAGCTACGTCTACTCAAAACACAATGTATTTCTTCAGCATTATGTTCCAAGCTAAAGCAATTTGACTTTATTTAGCTACTTTGCAAAATTTTAGATGACTATGATGATAAAATATGCAAGGACTGCAAACCTGGACTACTACTGTTATTCTTCTGTCTAGTATATAATGGAAATGGAATCAGTTTAATTATGTAAAGCCTTGCATTTGTATACAGAATATACTTAACTTCTAAAACAGCTGTTCCTAGATTTGTATTAAAAAAATATAAAAACTACCATGTGCCTAGGAACACTTCTATGGACCCTTACATAAGGCAGGGGTTAATAAAATGGAACTCAGCAGCACTATGATTCATGTTTTTTGGAAATAGCTTTTTAATTTATTTTTACCTTTTTTTTGGAATTTGCAATAACCAATAAATCTCATGAAATTTGGGGGCAAGAACTTACAATTTTTTGTAAATTCAAGAGATTCAGACCATTTACTATTTCTTTTATTGATATTGTATTTTATCCTATTTTACTTTTTTGGTGTCCACACCATGGATCACCTGAAGTATCTTTGTGACTGTTAGTGTGTCAGGTTTCCTTCCTGAAGGTTAGGCTAAAGTTGAATAATTTGAAAGCACATAATTTCTGGTAAGTAATTTACTATAGAAAAAAAAATCAAATCATTATGAAAGAATGCAATAACGGATGTGTATCAAAATCATTGTATATTCATAGTGAAACCAAAGTTCATCTTTTTGTGGCTTTTTCTTCCCCACTCCAATCCTCAGCTATGCAATGAGTTGGATAGTCCTCTCTTTTGGATGGGAATCCTATTTGTCCTAACCAAAATGAGTAGGGCTTGCATTTCATATTTTAAGTTCCATTAAATGTTAAGTTAAACACACTGAATATCCTTAACTCTACTTCTCTTTATCACCAAAATGAAAACAGCACATGCTAGGAACCAGCTCTGACACTTATAAAATTAGTAATCTTTTTCACTAGTTTTATCTGAATTTTCTTTCCATGGTGTGATGTTCCAAGGGTAATGCTATTATGATTTAATTTACTTTTTACATTTCCGTATAGTTTCCATTGTTGTTCAACAAATCGATTTCCTACCCTTTTCTCTAGCTCTTCCAGGTTATTGTAGATATAAATGATACTGCTCTGACCATTTTTTCCAGGCCCAGACTCTATCATCCATCTGATTTTCTGTTCTTTTGAAGAAGAAGAAAATTAAAAATCAATTGTTGATAGCATCCCAAAGTTAATGCCAGACAGAAGACGGATTCTATTTTGTTGAATTACAAGGCCATGCAGAGCAATTGTTTTTGTGAACATTTATAAACCTTCGTCATTTCAGAACTATTAGTTTTAATGACATAGGCAAAAAACAAATGTTTACAAGAGAAAAAGGTTTGATCTTGATTAGGAACCTGAATTTGCATTTTAAATTTAATTGTCTTGCCAATTTACTGCTGTGTGGTTGTTATACTCAAGATAATTTTCACTAGATTTCAAAACAAAAATTAGTAAAATCATGCTTTGATGTAGTCTGCATCAGCACGTTTTAACTCGCTCATTCCCTGTAATTGACAATCAGAACAAGTAATGTGAATGTTGCTGGGCTGAATGCTGAATGCAGTGTTATTTATAAACAGTTAAGTGCAGAAAAGCACAATCTAAATTCCGGTGTAAGCCATTTGCAAACCTAAAAATCCCTAATGCACAATTTGTGGACTGTAGAAAAGTAAATATTAATCTTAGGCTACTGCTTATGTCTGAGGGCAAAAGGAGAAGGGGACGACAGAGAACAAGGTGGCTGGGTGGAATCACTGAAGCAGTAGGTTTGAGCTTAAATGGACTTCCTGTAGAGCAGGGGTCACCAACCTTTCGGACCTCAGGGACCACTAAATTCATAATTTTAAATCCCACGGACCACAAATATGATCTGCCTAATGATCAGCTGGGTAAGTGTGGCAAGGTGGTCATGTGACTGGGTGAGCGTGGCCAACTCGATGTCACTCACGTCAAGGGGCGCTTTGCCAGCCTCTACTTGCTACTCCTTGCCTGCTCGCCCAGGCTCCTTAGGGCCCCAACAGAAAGCAGTTGCTGGAGCTAAGCAGCCACCATGAGAAAGAGTTTGCAAAACAGCTGGCTCAGTTCAAATTGGATCTGGCCGAGAAGGAGGCTCAGCAGAAGCACCTCACTGAGGACTACGAGCATAGGCTTTCCAAGCAGAGGGAAGACCTGCGGGAGTGTAAGGCTAGGTACTGGCGCCTGGAGACTCAGCGGGCTGAGATGGTCTGCCAGTTCCAGGCCATGAGGCAGTCCCACTGGAACAAGGCCCTCCAGCTCTTCACCACCAGCGGCGCTTCACTCCAGCCTTTGATCAAAGTCCCACACCAGGAGGCTGAAGCAGCAACAGAAATGTTCACTGCTCGTATCCAGCCCAGGGGCCGTAGTTTCAGGACATCTGATTTAGTAAAATATAAAAAATGAAAATAATTTTTCTGCGGACCACCAAAATTTTCTCGTAGATCACCAGTTGGTGACCGCTGCTGTAGAGGACAGGAAGGCCTGGAGGAACATTGACCATGGGATCACGATGGGTCGGACTTCGCAACTAACAACAACACAAACGATCATTTCTCCCTTTCCTTCAATGAACAGCAATCCAATAAAACTGGTATGAACTATCAGAAGTAATATGAAGTAGCTTTGTTAATTTTTCAGCATTGATTTAAACAACGGAAACAAGGAAGTGCCAAATTTAGGAGCAAGGACACAATTCCTTCAGCTTGCTCCATTCCTGTGTTCAAAGACATGTGTTTCACACATGTTCAGATAGCATACATGATGTGGTTTAAGATTTGCCAAAACAAACAAGTTCTACAGTTCTGGATTAATGCCCAGGGAAAAGCCAGGTTTTCAAGGCCTTGCAGAAAGCCAACAAGGTCAGGCTCATCCCAATAGCTTATCTCAGGATAAGCTATTCCAGAGCACAGGCACCATTTTACAATTGTAAAGTGTAAAGATAATATAAAGTGTAATATAAGGAAGATATTAATTTTCTTCAAGAATTTGACTACTGCTAAATTTAAAGATTATTTATGCTTTTGTTCTGTCCTCTTTAGCTGTGGTAAGCCTTATTCTATTTTATTGCTCATTATGTTTTTGAAATGATGAGTTGTAATTATCCTAACAATTTATGTAGGTCAGGCTAAAATTAATGCTAATAAATATACAGTCTATACTACCTTCACTGAACATGAAAAAGACAGTTGCATTAATCCCAAAAGCCTTTTCACTTATGCTATGTCAATATCTAACACGTTATATATTTGAAATTAAACTTTATTAATTTCCCAAGCCTGACATTTTCAGGAAGGATATTTAAGAAATCATGTTAATGTTCAGAGAACACAAACCGTATTGTAAATATCATCCCTAGCAGAAGCATCAATATTTATTACAACCTGAGCTGCATACAATGAACCTTTTTTTTTTTCTCAGAAAAAAAATATTAGGCTAAGAACAAAAGCTTTGCAGTTAGAGACTGAACCAAAACATGAAATATATTATCTTACTGTTTTGTATGTCCTTGGGGGACAACTCGCCATGAGACAGACAGACAGACACACATCATTCTGAGCTTGGGGAATTTTATCTGCATCCGTGCTGGCAAGCTACCAGTCGCACCCGGGCTTGAGGAGAAAGACCTCTCCTTCAGCTTGTGTCCAGTGTCCAGGTGGCAGCATCCAGGTGGCCACAGCAAATTGTCCCATTCCGTCAATACGTATTTAATGTGTGGATGAAGACAAAAGATGAGATTAAATTTACCGTATGGTCACTATGAACAGAATGGACAATGAAAATAAAGTCGGCATGTATATCCTATGTCTTTATGGCCTATAAGTATAATTGCACAGTGTGTATAACTATACAGAATTAAAAAATAATTCCTAATATCTTCTAAAGGATAGATCAGGTCTGGTTCTGCCAATCTGTTTTTATCACCATCACCGCCACCCAATTCAGTAAACATGTTTAAAAGATAAAAAGAAGTCTATATAGTCCAGCTATAGTATTCCTGGTGAATAACTGATTTTATAGAATATTAGATATATAATATTAGAACTTAATTCTAATATTAATTTGAAGGTCAATGATAAATTGATGGGACAAGAGATATATTTTATATATAGAGATTAAGGAAAATATACAATTTGACAGGTATTAGAAGTTGTTGAGCCTTTAGTATTTTCTTAGGTCATAACTGGGCTACATGGGAATGTACATCTTCATATATGCACAAAAGAAGCTGCATGCCTATCCAGGATAATAGGCTGAATATGAATACATATCAAATTGAGAACCCTGGCTTTGCTGTTGATTTAAGAGAATGGAATTGCATCTAAATTCTTATAACTTGTCAGGATGGACAATTAACATGAAATTAATCATTCTCAAATTTCAAATAAAACTATTACTAAAACTGCTGAATGTCACCACCAGTGCTGGAGTAACTTCCAGCAGTTCTATAGTTCTGATGAATTGTAATATCCTTTCTGCAAATTCAGCACACCAAGAAACTGGATCAACAGGATGAAAGGATAATTTTCATCCTTAATAGTATTTATAATACCTTAAAAATATCCCACTCAAACTAAACATGTTTTAGGGTGAGCTTTTGGAATAAGCAACTATTCTACCAAATAGTCCTTTACTGATAATACAAAATATACATAATGTTGAGTCAACCTTGAGTCAGTGAGAATCAAACTGCCGAACTACTGGCAATCGGCAGTCAGCAGAAGTGACCTGCAGTGCTGCATTCTAACCACTGCACCACTCTTTTACCCCAGATAATACCTCACATAATCATCTTCTAGGACAATGTAAAGTCATTAATTATTGCAGCAGAATGTTCAAATGTGCACATTTCTTGGAAATACCTTCATAGTAGCATAACAAGATGAGAATAAATTATCAATGAAAAAGAATCTAGTTCCTGCACCAGTTTTGTTGGGTAAAGGGAAGGCTGGGTCACTGACTGTGCTGTAAATTTGTGAACAGCTTTCCGAGAAGATAAGACAACTGTTCTTCTATATATTCTTGTCTCTGCAGATTTGGAAAGGGCAAGGGACAATGAACAAGATTACTGTAGGTCTTGGCTGGTGCCCAGGAAAGCAGCCTCTGACAAGAACCAGCTCAGCATCAGTTGAATGAAAATTGAGAAAATCTTCATAGGGAATAATAAATCATTTTTCTGTACCTCTTGAATGGCATTATAATGATTCAACAATTTTATCCATATTTTACTTGCTCTGTGCTTAATGTTATATGTGAATAATTTGAACCTGCTTCTGACATGAATAAAGAAAGAACATATTTTATTTAAAAAGCAAATCAGAATTTTAAAAGTGTCTACCTCTTAGGTGTTTCCTGAGCTTTTAGGGCTCAGGAAACCTCTAGGATTTTTTTTAAAAAACTGAGGAAGCAGTAGGGAAGAAATATAACACATTGCAAGCTCAGAAGCAAAATGGAAAGCCACACAAGACAATTTTTCTGGTTAAAAAAAAATAAGTCAATTCCTTCTAAAATCAATGAATTTTAATTTCAATTTTACCCGTAACCCGTAATTTCATTTTTACCCAGTAACAAACTCCTTGAGAGATAGATTTAACTGAGAGCTAATGCCTAGCCTAACATCTCAGTACCCCAGTTTCAGTGGTGGGTTGCCCACAGTTTGGACCGGTTCTATAGAACCAGTAATAAAACTGTCGGGAGGCTCCACCCACTGACCCTGATGTCATCAGAAGCGATCTGCGCATGCGCAGAAGCAAGGTACGTATGCAAAGCATGTGCGTGTGCACGATCCCATTGTGAACTGGTAGTAAAGGTAAGTAGAACCCACCCCTGCTCAGTTTGTATTTACCGTAAATGTTCTGAAATACCACCCTGTCTAAAGAGATATATATTCTATTTTTTGCAATGTACACTTCAATGTCTCTTCCTAATTGTAAGCCCATGCAGCAGAATGTGCATAAGCAATTCTCTAGGAGAGTTTTTCCATTACCTAGACAGAAATACCAAGACCATATTGGTACAGATGCTACATAACTCCTATTTTATGTCTTCTGATATGATTTATAAAGCTTGCTCAATTGTAAAAGAAGTTTGAACATGACTTTTCATTCAGTCTACTCAAAATGCTTTTTAATTCCACTGAAAATGCCATTTAATTTAATTTGCTCAAATTCCGATAGAAACTATTGTTATATTTGACTTCAGAATTAAACAGAGAGGATACAAGAGCCTCATGTGGTATGAAGTGTTATATTTTAGAAGCCATTTTTCCTCTGTGTTCCTTTCTAATGTCTTTTTTCTAATAATAATTTGGCCAGTACTTGCAGAAGACTGTTCTAGCCTCAGGGATTCTCACACACTCTTCTGTTGACAGAGTTCCTGTGGAACAAGCATGAACCTTTGTTAAAGATCTACTCGTCTCCCATTCTGTTCTGCCCCAGCATTAAGAAGATACTCTACTGGCCGAGTTCCTGCTATTATATTCATGGAAAAATCGCAGAACGGAACAGGTAAAACTATGCACAATAAATACATTTCTATATTCTTTTTATTTTTTCTATATATTTTATTTGGTTTACAATAACACGTAAGTAATTATACTATTAAAGTAACTAGAAAATATGAATGAAAACATAATCATGATCTTTTTATTAAAAACAGTATACTGATTCTTCTCTACATTGTTTTTAAGGTTTTCAGTTCAAACTTGATTAATAAATTTAACAATGATTTCAGATTAAAATAATATTCTATCATTAAAACATTTTTAAAATACAGTAAATACTGTATAATTACATCATTTACAAAAATAGAAAAAAATAAATAAAAATAATTGGCCTGTCTTGGGAAAAATAAATGTTACTAGTTTTTTGAAATATACTCTTATGATGAAATGTTCTAGTGTCTTCAGTTATCATTCAGCATTTTATAGTCTATAATTGAAATTTGGAAAATGTAACAAGCTACCATTGGGCATTAATGTAATACGTTCACATGATTAGGCAGTCCTGCAGCTGTCTGTGTCTATTTTTTAAATTGTGCAGTTATAAGTTATAACTATGTCTACTATATCTACATATGTAATACTCTACTTTCTATGCAATATCCATCTCACAATTAAATAATTCACTAACGTAGTAAGGTAATTGTTTTATTTTTATTTTGAACTATTTTTATATAGTTAGTATAAACCAGTGCAATTTTTATCTTTATTGAGGTGCACTGCAAACTTTTCTGGGGATCCTTTAAGCTATTTTAATTGCTTTAGAAGCATTCACATTTCAAAACTCAGGACGTGTTTTAGCTAATAAAACATCAGACTTCCTGTACTTTCCCATAGGATAATCAATTGTATAAAAGGCTTTGAACACACATTACCGATAATGTATGTTTTCTGTTACATATAGTATATATAATAATTGTGTTTCCAATTTGGGGGGCTAGATACAAGCATTATGTTCCCAAAACAACAAATCATGGCTTGATGAAATAAGAAATTAATTCAGCCATTCCTCCTTCCCTTCCATGACAAATGCAAAGAGGTACTCTACAAACTGCCTGCCCATATGTTCAAACTAAACTACTATAGTTTAATTTTGATATCGTGATATTAGAACCAGGAAAAGTAGTTTCCTGGTTGTAATATCACAGGGAGAGAAAGATTTCTGTGAGCTGTGGTTGCGCAGTGGTTAGAGTACAATACTGCAGGCTACTTCTGCTGACTGCCGGCTGCCTACAATTTGGCAGTTCAAATCTCACCAGGCTTAAGGTTGACTCAGCCTTCCATCCTTCTGAGGTTGGTAAAATGAGGACCCAGATTGTTGGGAACAATACGCTGACTCTGTAAACCGCTTAGAGAGGGCTGTAGAGCACTGTAAAGTGGTATACGTACTATTGCTATTTAACAAATCATGGTCCTACAGTCATGCATATAAATTAAGGAAGAGAAGAGAAAAGCATGCAAGCTTAGTAGGCTTTGACAATTTAACTGGCTGAGGAATTATTAAATTAAAACTCAATCTATATGAGCTATCATTCAATAATTTTACTGCATTTAAATACTTCATGAGGCATTGCCTGAACATTGGGAAGTCAGTCTATTTTACAGTTCCCATAATATGTCACTATGGTGAGTCCAGGAAATGAAGTCCAAAATACCCAGAGGGTAACAGGCTTCCTACTCCTGGCCCACACAATTTACACATTGCATGAAAATGTGATTTGATTTTAAATAAACCACAACGGTGATGTTAAAAACTAAAAACATAGTTCAAATAGTATGAACCTAGTCACTCTGAAAAACAGTCACAGAGCTTTTTCAGAAGTGCTTGAGGAAGCCAAATGTGTATTTCAAATTGTATTCTGTTCTGAAGACAGATTTAAAGCATCGAGGTAATTTAATCTTTTTGGTAAAAATAGATTTCCATGATCTACCTAAAATCTTTACATTCCAACTTATAAAATAAAATATTTTTTTTACTAGACATTTAAACACAGTAAAGTTTTTTATACTATTTTTAATTTCAGGAATAACAAGCGTTGGATACTTCTCATAATTCCAAATATATAAAAGAAGATTCTACTACATAAGACTTTATTATTCCTATGACATTTAAAAATGAAGTAAAATATTGTCCTTATGGATTAGTCTTATAAGAATGGAAGCTCATTCAATCAGATAGAAATACTGTCATTTTTTTTGCTTGCTGACACTGACAAACTCCTTGAATCTTCTGGTAAATTAAGGCCAAAACAACTGTGGAAATTCAGGCCATTTTTTGAAAAATTGTTCAAGTTCTTCACGTATATCTCATTTTACACATGATGAGATGGCCTTAGCATTTACTACAGTTACTGACCACTTGTATGATGAAGAGCCTGAAGCAAAACGACAAAATGATGGATTATTATTTTTTGCAAATTATAAGAACACAGACAACTCAGCACCCAGCATTTCTCATATTCATCCTAATCCAAGATCAGATGAGCAAGAAGGTAGAATGTGTGAAGTCACTATATTAAAAGGGGCTACCATCTCTTCAGATTTAAGAGCTAGGATTAACTCTGAATTTCAAATTGATAAGATGACAAGGCCAGAAATTTCTTCATCAGAAGATCATGAGGATAAGGCATATGAAGATGTTTTTACAGAATTACCAATGAGTGGGGTAGTTTTAGAAAGTCAGCATAAAATGTACATTTCTCAAAGAAAGCAGGTTAATTACCGGTATGGCTGCATCATTAGTATAGATAACTTCTCAATCTTTTGTGACAAAGATTCCAGTAAGAAGAAACTGAAAGAGAAGCATCTTCAGGTAAGATGAAATGAGCCAAAATGGCATTTTATTTTAGTTACTATGCATGTTTTAGATTTTTAAATCTATACAATCATTGATACAGCAATAAGATGCGAATGCAGTGTTAAATTTTATTTCTGCTAGAAATATTAAGATAAAATTATATCACTATTATATTGTGCACGGTCCATAGACCCTCTTGCTCAATTGTGAAGACCATCTGCAACATAAAAGATGGGCCAAACATAAAGAATATTGAAAGCAATTTGCACATTGTACACGTAAGAATATAGATAGTCCTCGACTTACGACCACAATTGAGCTCAAACTTTCTGTTGCTAAGTTGTTGTTGATTTGTTAAGTGAGTTTTGCCCCATTTTACCACCTTTCTTGCACAGTTGTTAAGTGAATCTGACTTCCCTATTGACTTTGCCTGTCAGAAGGTTGCAAAAGGTGATCACATGACCTTGGGACCGGAGATAGGTTTCAGCAGGTTCTGACCAGTTCTGGAGAACCAGTAACGGAAATTTTGAGTAGTTTGGAGAACCGGTAAATACCATCTCTGACTGGCCCCGCCCCCATCTATTCTCTGCCTCCCGAGTCCCAGCTGATCGGGAGGAAATGGTGATTTTTCAGTAACCTTCCTCTGGAATGGGGTGGGAATGGAGATTTTACAGTATCCTTCCCCTGCCACGCCCACCAAGCCACACCCACAGAACCGGCAGTAACAATTTTTGAATCCCACCACTGCTTGGGACACTGCAACTGTCATAAATATGAAACAGTTGCCAAGCACCCAAATTTTAATCATATGACCATGGGGACTGCTGCAACAGTTGTAAGTGTGAAAAATGGTCATAAATCACTTTTTTCAGTGCTGTTGTAACTTTGAATGATCACTAAATGAATGGTTGTAAGTCGAGAACTACCTATATATCATTAAAACAGATATTTCATTCTTTTCCATCTAGGACTAACCTCATAGTCCTAGATAGCAAGAGTTATATTCTATTATAGGCAGAGATGGATTGCTACTCAGTAGTATGAGCTATATACTTCAAACAACTGATCCAGAAGTGAAGCAAATCATCCATTTCCCACTGCCTCCAGTCATCTATAATACTGCTTGTTCACCTCTGACCCCACACACTTTCAACTTGGAATTGCCACTGATGCTAGTTATAAGAAATACAATACAATACAATACAATTCTTTATTGGCAAAGTGTGATTGGACACACAAGGAATTTGTCTTTGGTGCATATACTCTCAGTGTACATAAAAAGAAAAGATACATTTGTTAAGAATCATAAGGTACAACACTTAATGATAGTCATAGGGTACAAATAAGCAATCAAATCATACTAGGAAACAATTGATATAAGTCATAAGGATACAACAAGTTACAGTCATACAGTGATAAGTGGGAGGAGATGGGTGATAGGAATGATGAGAAGATTAACAGTAATGGTAATGCAGACTTAGTGAATAGTTTGACAGTGTTGAGGGAATTATTTGTTTAGCAGAGTGATGGCGTTCGGGAAAAAACTGTTCTTGTGTCTAGTTGTTCTGGTGTGCAGTGCTCTATAGCATCATTTTGAGGGTAGGAGTTGAAACAATTTATGTCCAGGATGCGAGGGGTCTGTAAATATTTTCACAGTCCTCTTTTTGACTCGTGTAGTATACAGGTCCTCAATGGAAGGTAGGTTGGTAGTAATTGTTTTTTCTGCTGTTCTAATTATCCTCTGAAGTCTGTGTCTGTCTTGTTGGGTTGCAGAACCAAACCAGACAGTTATAGAGGTGCAGATGACAGACTCAATAAATAAACAAATATATAAACATTGACTCTTCCTCAAAGGAAGGTGAGATGGTCCCAAGGAATGCCTGTTTAAAATTCAAAAATGTATCCTGTTAAATGTTTCAATATTATCTGTCATCCACAACATAGCTCTGTGGAACCAGTTTGTCTAACTGCTCTAAACTAAGACCCCAGTTTTATCAGAATGACATAAAATGAAGATAAACGAGTCAGATGCCAAGCAGCATCTTCAGTGTACCGGTTAACGTAATTACAAAAACCCAATCCTGTTTATAGAGATTCCTTTAAGATGAAGAAACATCTGGGGAGAACTGTAGGTCACTGTTAGACGTCACACCTGGCATATTAAAAAAAACAACAACAACAACTCAGATGTCAACTCTTGGTGCTGTATCATTTAATACCTGTAGATGATCACTCATTTCCCAAATGACTGGCTAATAAGGGTTAAAAGGGGAAACCTCTGAAAAAGTAAAAAATAATGAAATAATGAAACATAATACTATAAACCAAACCTTGCCAAGATACAGATCCATGACTTGTATTATATGGCAGGCATATCTGTCTTTCTTGCATAGCTCCTTGCAGAGGTAGGAAGTCCCATTTCTTCAGGGCTTTTTTAAAGGCCAACAGGGATGGGCCAAACAAATTTGGGAGGGGACAGATTTTTCCACTGGGCAGGCACTGGAACAGAGAAAGTGGCACTTGGTCCCATAAGGTGCCATTGTTTAACTGATGGAACTGGAGCATATCAGCCCTGCCAAATTGTACAGAGAGGAGCAACAATCAGAGATAAATTGTCTTCCAATAGTCAAGTTTTTGTTACCTGTTAAAGTGATTTCAAAAAATAAAGAACTAGAACTATTTCAGTGTTATTACCAGTTAGAATATGTAGTACCGGAGTAGATAGCTGTGTGATGTAACCATAATAAGGAAGTTAAATATATACAGTACATCACAAGTCAAATAATTTATGATATCCACATTAAATATGAAGCCTAGTGGCCAAGTTCATGGCACTGGAATCATACTGAAGAGGACATCTAAATAGAGAGAAAACCATTATGTCCGTCCAATCATCCATCATCTATCTATCTATCTATCTATCTATCTATCTATCTATCTATCTATCTTATCTATCATCTATCTCAGAAAATAGCCATGCAGTCCCAGGAAAATGTTTAGTTTTTGACTTAAGGAAGCATTAATTATCAGTGATTCCTTTGGGTACTTCAAGTTAACTTTGTATTTTCCTAGGCTTGTATGGTTTCTTTAAGGTGATAGCAAAAGATAGATAGGAAAAGTACTACAACTTCCAAAGTACATTTTCCACTTAAGATCTGAATAACCACACATTATTCATGGGTTATCATGACTTTTATCCAAACATGTTTATGCTTGCAATCCAAAGCTGTTATTGTATGTTGAACAATCTACAATTTTTAGAAGAACAACATTGATCATATTTTGTTATTTAAAAATAAGGAAGATTGTTTTCTCACAATGAGAATATGAAATCAAATTAAACTATAGTAAGCAATCAAATTACATTTAAATGAGAACTTTGTGTTAAAATTCATATCTTGTTACTTTTAGAAAATTCTGAATATTAAAATGAAAAAATACCTTCTGAATATTAAAGTGAAAATATACCTTGATACTACTTTACCTTTCTAATCACAACATAGAAAAAAGATAGGTTTAACCAAACTTCTTGTGATTCCTATGGTCTAGGATGGTTACTGTCTTTAACTATTTTTATCTTCTAACAAAAAAAAAAATCCACTTTAAAGGGCCAATGAAACCGTAGCCCAACTCTTGCATTACTTGATTACAGGTATGAATACTTTAATCCACCCCAACTTTGTTTGAATGTCAGTAGCAAAACGTTATGGTTACTTTTAATTTAAAAGTAGAAAATGGGACTAAGCATATTAAGCATTGTAATGTGAATATAGGATTTATCTTACAAAGGGAAAAATACCTCCAGGATTATAGGCTGGGTATATATGGGAACAAGGGGAATATGACCTGAAGGGCAGAGGATTTATAGGAAACTTTAGGTACTAGAGTACCTAAAGTGTTGTTCAGTTTAAATTCAATTATGTATAAGTGACAGTGAACTCAACCTAACAAAATCCAACAAAACAACACAGGAATGAAAATTCATATTATACATATATTGACTTTCTAGTTATATCAGGCAGCTGAACACTGAATTACTTCCTGTTAATTTGTGAGAATTCCCTCAACATCTGCCCAGATTTTCAGGTGTGTCAATTAGCATAAAAGCTTGACACCATACACTCTCAAACAAATAGGAAACACGGCTTCAATGCTTTTTCTCCCAACAAATTTAAAAAATAATAGCAACTACATAAAATACTTTGAATGTTATACAAAGTACCAGATGACTAAACTGTTCCCCTACAATTATCAAAATTAAAAGCTTCTCCTAAATTAAGAACCTTTGACACTATTTTTCCTATAAATCAAAGGGTTACTTGTATTGTTTATCTTTCCCCTCATTTCAGCATGAAGCCAGGCCAATCTGACCTTTTTTTACTTAACTCAGGTTTCAGTCTTCTTGTTCAGAGTAAATTATGATTTTTTTTCCCTTTACACATATACAGATCCTTATTACAATTGCTGCTGCACTAAATTCTCTTTCTCACAAGTAAACTAAAATCCATACAAAAAATGTCAATAAATCAATTAACTTTTAAGTTGCTATATTATGTAAACAAATATATAATCGTACTTAGAATATAATTTAATGTTCCTCATCAATAATTTTATTTATTAAATTTATACGCCGCCCATCCCCGATAAGGTGACTGGTGTGCTGCAGTAACCAAATGAAATACTGAAGATATTTTTTAGTTTCAAATATCAAAGGAGATATTTGCTATCTCTTTTTCTTCTGATGTGAGGAAAGATAGCTAAAGCTGCATAACTGCTTTGAAGAATAAACTGCTTATTTACGAGAACATGTTTGCTCAGTTATCAGTGACATAACAATCATAAAGGAATTTAGGGGAAACAGGATGTCCCATGGTTCAAGATGAATAAATAAGCAGGGTTCAACATTAATAGCCACTGCTTGAGCTTTCATATTTGCACTCCAAAACCACTGATAAAGGATATCTGCCTCTCTAATAATAGTTTTTCCAGTAACTAAAGATCACTTTCTGCATTAGAGATTCAAGGAATTTTTCCTATTATTTTTCAAGCATGCAAAAACATTTAAGAGAAGTTTGTTGTGAATTGTTGTTAAGTACCCATCTTCATTTATAATCAAATTTGAAAGAAAGTATACTTTCTGAAGGAGTTGTGAATAGCTCTATGAGTTAAAATAGCAGCTTTCCCATTACAGTATTTTTCACACTATAAGATGCACTTCCCCCCCCAAAAAAAGTGGGTGGAAATGTCTGTGCATTTTATAGAGCAAATACTGCAATAGGGGGAGGGGGATTGGTGTCACCGCTGCCGCAGTTCGCCACCACTTGCCACTGCCCGCCACTGCCAGGGAACCCTGGAGCCTTCACTGCCAAGCAGCTGATCAGCGGTTGGATCGGCATCCTGGAGTACCACCGATCAGTTGTTCTAGGCAACAGGGATCGATGCCGCTGTTCACTGCTGCCAATCACCATTGCCAAATGGCGGTTGCAGTGATCGGCGGCGATAGGTAGTGGTGGCAGCAATTGGCGGCAAACAGCAATAGGTGCCGGCTGCAATCCCCACCCCCTAGAATAGCTGATTGGGAGGCAGATCAAGCCGCCAATCAGCTGCTTGGCAGCGAAGGTTCCAGTGTTCTCTGACAGCAGCAGCAGCTCAGTTCAGTTGACCAGTGGTAGGCACAACGGAGCGGAGCCCTGACAAGCCACTGTAGCCCTGCTAGGGCTACAATAACGTGCTGAAGCTGACAAGGCTGTTTGCTGTTTGCTGCAAGGACACTAGCCAGATGAATACCGGATGGATGCTGGGAGGCACAGGCAGATTTTTTTTTCCCTTGTTTTCTTCCTCTAAAACTAATGTGCATCTTATGGGCCGCTGCATCTTATAGTGCAAAAAATACAGTAGCTATATTTCTTTATGACATAACAGTTCTTTTACGGTGTGTATACATACTTGTGGAATGACTGATTCTGTAGAAATACTTTGTGATAGCTCTAAATAGTTCTAGATTGAAATTATTCCCTCAGTTCTGTAAATTACATTACTATTTTATTATTATACATCAGACCTGGGCCTCTGGCCCACTTTCAGGCTTTTAGCAGTGCCTCTCCAACCTGCATAAGGGATAGGTAGATAGGTTGACAGACAGACAATAAATCTATGAACAGCAACCAGTTTAGGGGAATCAGTTTAATTCAGCCAGATTTAAATGGGATGTTCTTGCACACTTTCATTACCAAGATTTAATGTCTTTTTCACCATTTACATACCGGTAAGTGGGAATAGACTTCATGGGTGCCACCTACTGGATAAGAAATTTATGATTTCAATAAGTTTCAAATTCCCTAGAAGTCAATTCCTCTTCAGACTCTTAATCACACTGGAAAGTTCTGGTCCAAAGTGATTAAAAGGTAACCATAATAAAATTTATTTTGAGAAAATTCCAAAAGATATCTGAAGCATTATCCCTGACTTTAAAAAACTCCCTGTGTACGACCCTATAGTTCATATTCAGGGTAGAATTGGAGTAATTGGATGGAGCTGAGCGCTTAATGGTCAATTGCCCTTCCTGATGTCAATCTGGAGTTCGCATATTTTTATTTTTAGCCCAAGGACAAAAACATTTGCTGCTACCTAGGAATTAACTCTCAACCTTCTAAGTGAGTGAGCATCTTCACCACTACGCCATCATGCTGCTCTATTATCCCTAACAAGACTCTTGTTAAGTTAACATTAGAGGGATGAAATGGCTTTATTTAGGAAATTGCATTTTACTTTGGGCTTCTAATGTTACCTAACAGCTAGGACTGTATTTTGTATTGTTTATTATACTTAACATAAACAACACAAAATACAATACCAGTAACATTAGAAGTTGAAAATAAAGTCATTTCATCTGTTCAAATGACCTAAAAATCACAAAAATCTGAGACCATTTTCTCATACGTTTTAATTTCACATAAACATTCTTCCCTGTTTTCTGTTACCACTACCACTATTAAAGTTTTGATTTCCAAGATTTTTAGCCTACATCCATTGATGAATAATCAAAGAAAGTATCTTCAGATTCAGGGCACAAAGAGAAATTGGATTTTAAATTACACTCACTTCACATAACTTTATGGATGTCTATGGAATCAGTTATTACCATAAGTCTAAAGGTTACAATATACACAGAGTAGCTCTATTAATGACCTTAAGACATAATAGGACCTTTATATTTCAAGGCAGAATACCCAATGAGTACCATCTGCTGGGCAACAGTTGAACCGTTTGTCTTATAATTTGCAATGTTGCATCCTAGGAAATTATCCTTTCATCCTGAATTGTTCTTAAGAAAATAACATTCCACACTTTCATTCCACACTTCTATCCTTGTTCACTGCACTCCCACAATAATCATATCTTTATACATTTATGATTACTGATTTACTTTAAGATGTGTTAGCATTTTATACTAATTCATATTAAGTATTGTTGGAAGAAACATCCTTCTAGGTTCTGCTCCAAGTGGGGAAAACAGACACTGGAAACATGGAGACTGCTTGGAAAGATGGTTTAATGGTGGACAGGATCACATGGCTTGAGTTCCTGAACAGAAAAGGGGAGATACAGTAAATCCTCGGGTTTTTATGCTCTCTCTGGCTCTGCATTTCTTGGGGCCCCGAAAGAGTATCCTGATTGGTTGTCAGACTCCCAGGGGGTGGGGGGTCTTGCTGGCTGATGCAATCTTCCCAGGTGCCATGTGGTGAGCCTCATCTAGATGGGTCCCATTGTGTTAGTTTCTGTTGCTATTGTGTTGCAAATGTCCTTTGACAAAGGATTGGGTTTCTGCCTCTGTCCCATTAACAAACGGTGGGGGGCAGGAAGGTG